TCTTGCTTTTATTGAAGGGCCCACAGTGGCTTTGTACTAAATTATTATGACCACACTGGCAGAATTACAGCACTAATTCACAGCTCACCTATAACACCATATGACAACAGATTTATTTACATATAAATTATTTAATATGATTTCCATTAAAATATATACATTCAAAAATAAAATCTCAAATTTTGTGTGATCTGAAAATTCATTTATAAAATAAACACTGGTAACAAAACACTTAAAAAATGCATGAAGGATACATAAAGAAAAGAAAAATCAAAATATTCAGAAACTGTTTATTTCCTATTTACAACTATAAGAGGGTAACAGGTTCATGTGAAAGTAATCTTTGTTAAACTATACATTATATTCAAATCATGAAATAAACATAAAAAACACCAAAACAGAAACCCTTTACCATTAAATTACATTTATTATACCAAAAAAGAAAGTGTTTTGCTTCTTGTCATTGTGCCGTTAGTTTGAAATCTTCGCCTCACACACTTTTTGTTGTTGCAATATGCGTACCAGTGAAGTAGAATGGAAAATGTTTATTTTCGGTTTCAGTAATCTTTGTTTTGTCAATTCATATAAAATTTTATTAAACGCATATTTTTGAAAGCATTAATTAATAAATATTAAATGCTGAACACACATCTTTCTTTGGTGGTAGTGGTATAATCTTAGTATAAAAAAAAATAGCAAAGCATTCTTCAATTTCCCTCGAATGAAGCAAAACCTTTTTGTTTTACCTCACACTTACTACAGTAACTGAAGCTGAAACAAAAAAATGATTTTTGGTATTGTAATGATTAGGAACTAGAGACTTTCATATAGATATGACGGAACATTCACTGATGTGAGGACTGTCCCAGTTTAGTATTATCTATGACATCATAGGGTTATTCCACTTTGTATATGGGGTGGTGGGTTTGGCACATATGACTTACAGATTATTTCATTTTGAATATGAGGTGTTATGGGTGTAATATTACATTTCTTGTGGGTTATTTTAGTTGACAGGGTGGCAACATTTGGCACAATAATCTGCAATTATACTACTACTAATAAGAATACTGATTATATATGTGTTTTCATTGTATTTAAATATGAATATAATTTGACATAAAGCTTCATAAATGTAGATACAAAGGATTATTCCACTTTTTAAAATGGTTGGAGTGGCAGACAACCTTAATTTTATTTCACACGTATTACCGGTATATTCTGATTAAAATATTATGTTGTTTTTTTTAATAATATTTGTCAAAAAAATAAACAGAAAAAAACAGAATATGTACTTTGCCCAAGGTACAGTTTTAAAAGTTTAAAATACATTTTGAATTTTGACAAGTTAAGTATATGAACTTGAACCTCAACACCTCTTTCAGTTTCTCAAAATGTTTTCATGAAGTATACAATGTGCAGTACTGATAACCTGTTAATTCAAATCTGAGAAAATACAGAAAAAAACCTGCACCAATATTTTGTGAGTACATATGAGTATGAAACAGACACACTAGATGAGTTCACCCGAAGACCATGTTTCACAATGTGAGCGTCCAGAGAGTAACACAAATTTAGACCTGTGGACGGTATCATTATCTCTCGTTATGTTAATTTACAAAGAACACTCAAGATAATACAAAAATCAGAAAAAATGTTATTTGTATTCACAAGGTTGGTTAGGTTTCAAAGTTATGACATAAAAATGCAGGAAAATTTCCACGAAAAAAGAAGAAGCAACTCTTCAATTATTCCATAAGTTCATTGTCATGCATGTTCAATATGCAAATTAAAGATTAAATTTTAGCAGAGATGATTCCCTGAAGGGTGATGGTCATTGTGAATGTGAGCGTTAAATGTGAGCGTTGAATTTGAGCGTTGAATGTGAGTGTTGAAATAAACAAGGCACTTGACCAACTTGAATATGTTGTTATGCATAATATGGGACTCACATTAAACACTTGTGACGCCCATCATCCTTTACGAATCAATCACATGTACAGTGATTTAAAAAAAAAATACCATGAAATCTACGATAGAAGTACATACATATGAATACTAAAAAGATTCACACATTTACTGAAGTGTCTGTATGCGCTTCTAATTGAGTAAATATAGTACATCACACTGGAGTTCCTTAGAGGCAATATCAATATCTGTTGCTATGGTGTTCCATATTCCTGATAGGACTGCTCATTGATTTGGATTAATACTAGTTAGTTACCACCTGCATATGGGAATTCATGACTTAATCGTCTTCTGGTTGGCCTTCTAGGACTAGGAGAAAGGTGTCTGAAAATATATGGAAGTATGAATAAATTATATCATGTGACCCATGTGCACATGTTTATGAATGAATTACATCATGTGACCCATATGCAGATTCTCATGAATAAGTTGCATCATGTGAACCATATGCAGATTCTCATGAATAAATTACATCATGTGACCCATATGCAAATTCTCATGAATAAATTAAATCATGTGACCCATATACAGATTCTCATGAATAAATTACATCATGTGACCCATATACAGATTTTCATGAATAAATTACATCATGTGACCGATACGCAAATTCTTATGAATAAATTACATCATGTAACCATATGCAAATTCTCATCAATTAGATTCAAATTATCCATTTCTAACTTTTATATTGACAGACATAAGTAGGTTTTCAGTCTTGTCAATTATTCGCCCACTAGTTAAATCTGTATTGCAATGTGCTACATAAGCTTATACTCTCTCAGTGGCATTGTCATCAGAACAGTGCATGTGCATTGGAAGGGCTAACAACTTTTAGAATTGTCTTGTGGTGAAAAAGTCCAATAAACGCGCACACACGCATTAATAATAACAAGTGAAGCATGGATCATTTCAAATCAGGGGAGGTTTGAAAATGAGAAGCAACATTTTGCTTACAAAATTCCAAGCAACCCTCCTTCAATTCAAAATGGTTCATAAATTTTAAATTAAATACCATCACCACACCCTGATTCTGCAAATGAGAAATAAACAAACAAACAAAGAATGAAAGACGAATGACTACACACTACAAAAAAACACAAAAAATGCAAGATGAATGACTACGCACTAAAAAAAACAACACAAAGAATACAAGATGAATGACTACACACTACGACAAAACAACAAAGACTGGACTTACAATGCAGAGCGTGATGAGGGTTGAGACATTGATCGGTAATGATGACGTGGACTTACAGTTTTTCTGGCACTGTAAGCAGATTGATCAACTTCTTCTCTGTAATATAATTAATTTTAATAATACAGGTAATTTATATTACATTTGTTTATATTCAAAACAGTTTGAGGCATTGATTGTCATTCTCGTCTATACGCAACATTCACTATTGACTATTTACATAGAAACCATACTCCATGTTTAGGACTAGACACCGTCATACGGTGATGTCTCTATCAAATGGCAATTTCATGTGTTATCCTGATGTCAAAGCAAATGACTTCTACTACTAATTAAGAGTGGGCACAGTTCTGTTGTGTTATAAAGTGAGAAAAACAAATAATTTTTGCTTGTAACAGCCATCTTCTGTGAACTAAATCAAAGTGACAGCATCGACATAAACCTAAGTAATGGTTACTGATTCTATCCAGAGTTATGAAGAAACCAGGATTGTCATTGCATTACAGCGTTTGACACGGTGGGAGTATGTACAAATCCTTAGCAGTCGCTATCTTGTTAGCTGTTGTATATAACTGGTAGCATCCCTTATGAGTAGGCTTCAAATATGAAGGCAACGTTCAACACCATCAATGTGGTGAAACCCATTGACAGTGCTGTACGTCACGTAATAAATTTCAATTGACCTCCCTGTGATGACACATGCGTTGTGGAATACGTTGTGGAATACGGAAAAAGAGCCTGAAGCATGCGCACTGCATACACAATATGCTAATAACTTTCAACAAGGTTATGACGTAGACATATCTCATGAATATTATTTGAAAGTGAAATTATTAATAGAAAGCATTTAGTATGAAATGCTGGAATCACATATATTCGGTCTTGACCCCAACTCTGTCTATTGTGGTAATTTGAATACTGTAAACGCTTTCTATCATACTAAACTGGTCACCAAATTTAACAACTGCTTTTTCGTTTTAAAATGAAATCTAAATGAACCACGGCAAGCCAAAATAAGTCTCGATTGTATACAGTGCCATCAGTGGCTGTTCCCGGCTCCATGCGTCAAGTTTAAAAATTTGGTTCCAAGACATGTCAAAATAAATGATTTTTTTTTTTACACCTAAAATAGTCAGATGTGGGCCATCTTTGATCAGATGACAAAATTATTGTATGTGCATATATATGCCATAATGTACTGTCTATATATAATGTTTGAAGTAAATTGTCAAAAAAATGTACAAGACACAAGTCAGCAATGGAATTTTGCAAGAGCAAAATTGCCACCAGTCGACCATATTGAGTCAAATTTTGGTTACGGCCATTTTAGTGCATTTTCACAATAAAAATGGTCGCCGGTCGGCCATCTTTGATGCAATCAGGAAATCATTGCATGTGCTAGATTTGCAGGATTTGAAAGAAATAGGTCAAGGTATGTCTAAGATACAGCCCAAGATGCATGGAAACATGGATGGATGGATGGTGATCAACCCATAAGTCCCCTTTTGGGTCTTTGTTCGAATCTGGACTAGGAAATTTGCCATACACAAATTAATTGTTGAATTACAGACCTCAGTTTATGAAATGCATTTTGACTAATTTTAATTTAAAATGACCACCAGAGTAGTGATTAACACTATGGCGTCATCATTTCCATGGAAACATCAGAAACGTACAGCAAACTTAATTCAACTGAGATCTGTTATATGGTCCAACATACCTCAATGGTGCAAAGTCTTCCATGTAACTTCTATCTGGCTCATACAATGGACGTGGTTTACCAAATGATCTCTCGGATGGCATTTCGTAACCATTTCTGTCAAAACGAGGGCGTTCATTTCCAAGAAAATCAACCTGATAATTAAAAACACACATATAAAAAAAGTGATGCATAACGCAAAGCAGGACCCTATGATGGAAATAATTAAATATGTAAAGAGAGATTCCAGACGTGGTCTCAATCTGAATAAACTCTGATTCAGTTACAAGCTCTGCAGTATTCTATTGTGCAAGACAAATATTCAAAACTTGCACTGCTTACATTCAATTTTCTCAAAATTATTAAGTTTTTAGTTATATTTCAGATTTCAAAAATTCACAAGAACACACTTGTAAACAAGTACCGGTAGGGGGTATATTTTAAGGTTAAAAGAAGGTTAAAGTCACAATACTCATACATGTAAATGCAAAAATGAGAATTGATTATTTAACAACATTCTACTCTATGAAAGCCAAAGATAACTTAGTCACAATCATCACAAAATAAAACTGCATAATTTGTTTCAAAAGTTTTCAAAAAATTTTGATCAATCAGAAATTACGTTCATCTGTTCAAAAATTAAAACAGAAATTATAGCAATATACATAAAAATGTGATTGGATAGAAAAATTATGGCGCTCAAACTGACCATGGGTTAACAAGATCATACAGAATACATACCTCTTCATATTCCCTTTTACATGCTGCACTAAGTTCTTTTTTCAACGTCTCCACATGTTTTTTGTTTGAAGTAATTTCATTTTCCAGAACAGACACACGGGACATCAAGGCTTGTTCTATATCTGTTACTGCGGCGACAACACTCTGATGAGAAATCAAAATAAAGTATAAGTAACTATGTGATCTGATGCACCATGAAAACTGACATGCAGGCTGGGCTCAGGAATAAACATAGAGCAAGGCTCACACAACATTTATGAGCAAGCATGTAAATTATCAAAATTATGTTTGGTGATAATTTAAGAGGCGATAAAGTACTACAGTTATGACTTTGTTTATGTATTGAGCTGCATATAGCATGTATATGTTGCAAATAAAGACCAAGCAGAGAACAGTAGAATCTTGCTTTAACAAATGGGCATGTATTATAATGGCCGTTGTGTTGCTTTTTAAAACTTCTATACCAAACAAACTGTTTATATCAATAGGTACCAACATAGTTACAATTTAATTTTGATTGCTTAACAAAAGACAAGAAGTGTCAAGTAGAATGGATATATTACTAAAACTATTATTGCTACATGGTGAATATATTAAATCAGCTAGGGGATCCTTGAAACAATGCCCCCTAACTAAACATAATAAAATCACAGCTTACTTGTGATGCCAGCATAGCAGGTCCCATTTTCATTCCATCACCAAGTTCTGACGGCATCAACTAAAGATAAAAAATAAATTTATTACTTAGAACTAATGATATCAGTAACTACGACTGTGTAATAGATTGTCAATCGAGTACTGCAATGTTTTTTTCATAGTTCTAGTTATTCCCTAGTCTATAAGTGAGTAAAACAAACATGAGACAGCCACTCAGTTGAGAAACAATATTTCAACCTATGGAATGTTTTCAACCGGTCTGTATTACAATTTCAACTAGTC